ATATCTTTATTTATTTACTTATTTATTTTTGGTCTTTTTGAGACAGGATCTCTCTTTAGCCCCAGCTGGCCTGAACTTGCTATGTAGATCCACCTGCCTCTGCCTCCCAAGTGCTGGAATTAAAGGCGTGTGCCACCACACCCAGCTTATTTTTTAATTTTTATGTGTATGAATGCTCTGCCTGAGTGCCCATGGAGGCCACAAGAGGCACTGGATTCCCTGAAATTGAAGTTATGGACTATTGTTAGTTGCCATGCGGGTGTTGGGAACCAAACCTGGGTCCTCTGTATGATCAGCTGGTGCTCTTAACAAGAGAACCATCTCTTCAGCCCTGTGAGTATATAACTATATTTATATATTATATAGTAATATATTAACTATATTTTCCTCTCTCTATCACATCTGCATCCTTGTAGACCTGGAGTTCTTTCTCTGAAGACAAACTCTTCCATACCGTGGTGCATTTGTATAAGTGTGTGGATGGGTTTTGCATAGTGGGTTGAATATAATAGATATTATTAGATTACTTATCCAAAATGACATAACGTATGTATTCTCCTATGTAAAAAAATAAGAGGTTGTTTGTCCAAATCTCTAAGAACATGGTCATTTCTTTTAAACTGTGCACTTATTTTTAATTATTTTTATGTGTGTGTGTGTGTGTATAAGTGTGGGCACGTGTGTGCCATGGAGCATGTGTGAAGGTCAGAGGACAACTTTTGGGAGTTGGTTCTCTCTTTCCACGTGGGTTCTGGGATTAAACTCAGATCATTAGACTTGTACAGCAAGTGCTAAGCTTGCTAAGCCGTCCTTGCTGGCCCTAAACTTTGAGTTTTAGTGAATAAACAATGGCACTTAATTCTGGTGAAAGTAAGGGTTTGAGCAGCTGCCTCCAACAATGAGATAAATGTTTAAAGATCAAAAGTAGGCAAAATATTAAGTACATAATTACCAGGAAGTAGTTCACCAACTTGATTAGTTATGCAGACATTGCAGCACCCTTCAACAGTATTACAATTGTTCAAAGGTTTCACAAAGCCATTTAGTATTTTAGCAGCTATTTCACTTAGGAAAATGTTAATCTTTGAATTGGTTTCCCCCCGATATTTTGGTAAGGAAACCCCGAGTATCTGTGAATATCAACTGACTTGGACAGGGTCTTTACAAAGATAATCACATTGAAAGCAGTCATTGTGACTAGCGTCAATTTGGGGAGGGAGGGAGGGAGAGAGAGAGAGAGAGAGAGAGAGAGAGAGAGAGAATACAAATACAAAGACAGAAATTAGGGCGATGTATCTACAAGCCAAGGAACATCAAAGATTGCCAGAAAGCCACCAGACAAGCTGGAGGACAGGGATGAAACAGATTCTCTTCCATAGCTCGCAGAAGGAAGCAACCTGTCAACACTTCCATCACACATGCCTAACCTCAACAGGAACACTGTTTTGCACTAAGCCACCAAAATGTCAGCATTTTGTTATAGCAGCAGCAGGGAACTGAGATGGAAGGAAAACCAAAACATCAATGAATAAGGTTTGTCTCCCTTTGGTATTCTTCAGAATGCAAAACTTTGGGGAAGAAAGAGCTACATTATTTTGTTCCTATTACTTGTGGGTAAGGGGCAGTAATTTTTTTTTTTTTTTTTGTCTTTTTGAGACAGGGTCTCCCTGTAGCCCCAGCTGTTCGGGAACTCGCTTATTTATAGGAAGTTTCAAAACCAGTTTTCTCAAAGTTTTAAAATCTGAAAATTTTAGGCCAATAATTTTTTCCCTCTTCAGCTCATTCTAGCCCGGTAGCTTCCACATCCAGTCAAAAATAAATTGGCAAGTGCACATCTAGCCAGTGCAATCAGCTTGCTCGGTACGCAGGGAGCTAGTAGAGGGAAGGCTTAGTCACACTGCCTTAGTTGAATCAATGCACCTTGATGGTGAGAGAGGTCCAAAAACTGCAGCCCTTGTACAACTAGCACACTCCATTATATGTAGTTAGCGATTCATAAATATGCTTTGAAAAGAATTTTGTTTCTATTTATCCTAGACTTGAAATCTGTCATTTTAAATGGTTTGGAGGAGACTTTGCTGTTTTTCTGTTGTGTGACATTTGATATCTATATAAAGGAATTTATGTATAACGCATGCCCCACTTTAAACATAGAATTAAACGATGTTCTATGAAGGTATATTCCAACTGAAGAACCAGGTCCTAGTTGTTACCATCATAAGCCACTTGTGTGTTACCTCCCCAATCCTCCCTTCTCCTTCGCCTTCCAAGCTTCAAAACAGCAATTTCCACACCTAGCCATTATTTGCCATTGGTGCCACTGTGCCACAGCAATGTTTGCCTCGTGTGGAACTGCACTGCACGCATTACTTCTTAACACAAAGACTTTGAGTAAAGATTCTTATCATAAAATGTTCTCCAGTTGCTTTTGGCTAAGTTATGTTCACAGAATTAACTTACAGGGAACTTAACATGGCTTTGATGTTCATCTCAAGGGAGCTACAGAGTCTCTGTTGTGTAATAAAAACAAAACTTCTGATCTTCTTTATTTCTGGGGTGTTTTTTTTTTGTTTTTTTTTTTGAGCCTCTAAATTCCAGAAGTTTCCTGGGTAGAAGTGTCTTTCTTATTCGCTGTGGATTTCCTAAACTATGCCTGAGTTTATGCTAATGAAGTAGTCCACAGTGAGTCCCTAGATCATTTCAAGATGAGGGGTAGTTCTGTGTGTTGAGAAGGTTGAGTGAAGTGATATTAGCTGGAACTCCCAAACTTCAGGGAGTATAGGAGCTCTGGAGACAGAGTTCAGCCTCATGACCAAAGGTTCCTGAGCTGGGAAGATGACTCTTGGTAAACTGCTTGCCACACAAGCATGAGAACCTGAGTTCAGATCCCCATCACTCACAAAAAAATCTGGGTGCAGGGGCTGGAGAGATGGCTCAGAGGTTAAGAACTTTGTTTGTTCTTGCAGAAGACCCGGGTTTGAATCCTAGCACCCACATGGAAGCTAACAACTGTCCATAACTCCAGCCCCAGGGGATCCGACAGCCTCTTCTGACCTCCGTGGGCATTGCACGACATGGGTGCACTTACCTACATGCAGGCAATACACGCACACTCGTTAAAAAAAAAAATCTGGTTGCAGTGGTGTGTGCCTGTAATTCCAGCACAGGAAGGGAGGGGGCAGACACAGGAAGATTCCTGGGGCCTGCTGGCCAGTCAGCCTAGGCACCTGGCAAGCTCCAGGTTCAGCTAGAGATCCTGTCTAAAGAAATAAGGTGAAGAACAATTGAGGAAGACATCTGATGTTCTGACCTCTACAGGCATTACACGACATGGGTGCACCTACCTACATGCAGGCAATACACTCATACACATAAAAATAATAAAAGTAGAATCTTTTTCAAAAGATTCAATCAATCATGCTCATGTAATGAAATCTCAGGATAAACTCTGGACACCATGGCTAAGGTGAGCTTCCCAGCTGTATCCTTTATACAGTGAAACCATAATTCTAAGTCTAGCACCTTCCTGAGTTCTGTGAGTCATTGTACAAATGATCCAACCTGAGGCAGTCATGGGAGCCCCTTAGTTTTCAGTCAGTTGGTAAGGAGTGTGAGCAATCTGGGAGCCTAGGTGCTGTAGAGAAGACAATCTTGTTGGGACTGTGGAGTCTGGGCTAACTCTGGGCATTTGGACCCTAATCCCATTGCACACATCTATCAACTGCCTAGTGCAGAATCAACACTCAGTAAGTAACCAGATTTGTTTCACCTAAATATTCAAGTGCCAAGAGAAATTGACCTGCTATTTTGGTTTGAAACATACCATATCCGTTCTGGGAGTCTTCAATGATGGGAAGAGGTCCTCTGCCAAGGAATTCATCACCGTGGCTGATTAGGGCTTCCTTTACCACATCGTATCCATGCAAGACCACAGCGGGCCAGGATCCAAAGTACAGGGTATAAATGGGTCCATACTCTTTGGCCAGCTGGAAGAGAAGGTAAACATTTGTGTAAATGGTATTGTGAAATCTTTCTGCAGAAGGCTTTTAAGTAAGAGTTTTCCATGAAGCCTGGCCTTTGCTCCACCAATCTCCTTTTAGGAGTTTAACCAGAAGCATCAAGTCCATTTCATCCATTCATGAATTCATGAAACTTTATTCAGCACATACTTAGTAAGTAGCTGTTCTGGGCCAGATACTGCACGGCCCAGGAGCTATTATAGAACTTCAAATCTAATCGGTGACAGGGAAGAAACAGCAGTACTTGGGGTTGAATATGCTCAATACACATTCTATTCCTGTATGAAAATGTTCTTAAACAACATAGTACCATGCACAACAAATACACACAGTGACAATGAAAAAAAGAAGCAACCAAACAAGCTATATTTGCAATCTAAATGGTGCATAACTCAATGGAAGTGGTAAATGGTACAATGCGCTGGGTGACAAAGGAAGAATTTAATAAACAACATCGGAGAGGCATCTAGAGGGAGGCAACATTTATGCTAAAACTAAAGATGTGGTGGGTATACACAATGGAAATTTTTCAGCTATAAAGATGAGTGAAGAGGCCTGGCATGGTGCCGCACACCTTTAATCCCAGTTTGGGAGGCAGAGGCAGGTGGATCTCTGTGAGTTTGAGGCCAGCCTGGTCTACATAGTGAATTCCAGACCAACTGGGGCTATAGACCCTGTCTCAAAAAAGAAAAAAAGATTAAAAAATAAGATTCAATAATCATTTTTCTATGGATAAATTTGCACACTCAAAAAAAAAAAAGTAAGAGCGAAGGTCTGCTGTCTAAATGAAAATGGAATAATCAGATTAAGTGAATTCAGTCAGCCTCAGGGGGCACTGGGAATCAGGGCCCTGAGCTACATCACTATCTCATAAATAGATTTACAAAAAATATTGTGTGTATATGATATATGTGTATGTATGTATATCTATGATGTGTGCACATGTCTGCATGTTGCATGGCATACCTGTGGAGGTCAGAGAACAGTCCCAGGTGTCAGTGTTTTGCTTTCCAACCTCTTTGAGGTAGAGTCTATTTGTTGTTTGCCAGTGTACTATTTATGCCAGGTTAGCTGGACCACCTGTCTCCACCTCACATCTCACTGTAGGAGCATGGGGATTACAGACAGGCACCACCTCTCGCAGCCTTAAATGGGGTCTAAGGATTTGAGCTCAGGTCTTCGTACTTGCTGAACAAGTGCCTTACCCACTAAGCTACCCTCCAGCTCCTAAAATATATTTTTAATGTGATTTTGTTTTGCAGGAATTTGTTTAGAACTTGAGTGTGTTTTCTCTCATGTGTAGGGTCTAGATTTTATCCAGATACATAAAATCATATATGTACAAATGACATTACAGCAGAACTGAAACTGTCAGGGAAGTGGGGAGGGAGGACAAAGAGCAGGGTAGTAGCCTGGGGGGATATGTTCAAAATACATACTTGTATAAAATGACTTTACAGTATAATAAAATAAAATGATAAGAATAAAAACTAAAGATAAAGCCAAGCGCAGCGGCATATGCCTATAATCCCAGCACTGGGGAGGTGAAGGCAGGAGGATGGAGTTTGTCATCCTTAGCTACATAGTAAGTTTAAGGCTAGCCTAGACTATATGAAACTATCTCAAAAAACCAAACCAAGCTGCTACTAAAAAAGCAAAGAGAACCTAGGGAAAAGTTCATTGTGTGGACATAAACAGAGAGTGACATCTGTATATTGACCATAGCACTGTTCCAAGAAAACAATGGAGGCTTAAGATAGCCTGCAACTGGGGGACGGGTTTTCAAACTTACTTTACTTCCCCACGATTCAATCCAAAGCAGCCATTTGAAATAAGTTACATGAAGATACAGTTAAGTTCTAAACAAATTAATGAGAAATAAAATTACACTTCAAAATCAATTTTTGGAATGGTGATACAGTGCAGGGCAACCAGCTTGACCCCCCAGCATCCCCCACAAAACCTATCTGTATATTAGGGTTCCCTATTTTTTTTTGTTTTTGATTCTAGAGGCTTAAAGGAATCATGGCTTTTTCATTTCTTTTTTCTGTGTCCTTGGCTTCTCTCTCTCTCTCTCTTTTTCTTTTCTGTTTTCTTTCTTATTTCTCCCATCCCCACCCCCAACTTCCACTCAAATGGTGGGAAGTTTGTCACCCTGTGCCTCTTCTTCTCTACCCAAGAAAACAAAGCTTATTTCCTTGGGGAAATAATGTTTGGGGGTATAGATTGCCAGGCCTTCCTCTTCCAACCTCACTTTAAGTTGATGACTTTTCTCTCTGTTTCCCAGAGATGACAGAAGGATCTGTGAGTTTCCACCTGTATCTATCACAGAAGCTCCCCACTTACTGGGACCTCTGCCCGTGCACATAGTTTTCTAGTCATATAAACACGTGAGGAGAAGCAGTTCTCCAGCTTGTACCCAGGGGTCCAGTCCCTTCAATCTATGGTGCACGGAATACTTCTTCATAGCAAAACTTTGAAAATTTGTTTAAATCCGCTATCTCTAATGCCTCTCTCCTTTTTGAAACCTCAGTAGTGAAGCCCTTAACAGCACTATTGTGCTGGAAACTGCTTTCCTACGGCTCCCTTAAAAGCTCCACTTTAATAGGTCTCATATTATTTTGTAGTCATTGTTTTTGGTATGATTAAAATACTTATTAAGGGCTGGAAAGATGGCTCAGTGGTTAAGAGCACTGGCTGCTCTTGCAGAGGACCCAGTCAGGTTTGGTTCCCAGCACCCACATGGCAGCTAACATTCATCCTTAACTTCAGTTCCAGGGTATCTGATGCCCTCTCTTCTGGCCTCTACAGACATTGTATGCATGTGGGTGCACTTACACACATGCAGGCAAAACATTCATACACTAAAAATAAACTTTTAAAAAAGAAAAAAAAAGAAAACTAAGCATACTCTAGTCATATGGTCCAGCAAATGTATGTCCTTGGTATCTCAAAGGAATTAAGAATTTATGATTACACAAAATTCTGTACATGGATGTTTATAGCAGTTTTATCTATAGTTGCCAAAGCTTGGAAGCAATCAGGATACCATTAAGTAGGTGAATGGACAAATGAAATGTGGTAATTCAATTCCCCAAAAGAAGTGGTACACCAAGCCATGAAAAGCCACGGAGCAGTTCTTAGATGCTTATTACTAAGCAAAACTGGAAAAAGTCATACACTGTTGATTGATTTATATGACAGTTTAGAGGATGCAAAGCTGGGGAGGCAGTGAAAAAGTGTGGAAGGCAGAGCACAGGGGAGCTCCAGAACAGTGAAGCTAGTGAAGCCATTCTGACTATAGACCAGGCTGGCCTTGAACTCAGAGACCCGCCTGCCTCTGTCTCCCAAGTGCTGGGATTGAAGGCGTGCGCCACCACGCCCGGCTATTCTGATATTTTAAGAGCAGAAACACACCATTATACATTAATCCAAGACTATAAAATGTATGCCAGGAGAGAACCCTAATGTAAACCACAGACTCAGCACAATAACAATGTATCAATGTAGGTTTCACAGTTATAACTAATGTTCCACTTTGGTGTGGAATGTAAATAGCAGGTGATTCTGCACATGTGTAGGAGCAGGGGGTATTTGAGCATTCTTTCTGGTTTTGGCCCAATTATGCTATGAAACTAAGTGTGCTTAAAAAGTGAAGTTGGGCTGATGATACAGTTCAGCAGGTAAAAGTGCCTGCACCTAAGCCTGACGACCTGAGTTCAATCCCTGGGGCCCACTACCTCTGACCTCTACATTCACACGATGGTGTGTGTGCACACATGTGCATGCTCTTGTACACACACACACACACACACACACGCACACACGCACACCACACACACGCACCTGATTTGTTTTGGCTTTTGTCTGCCCCACCTTTCCCCTCCCGTTTTGCAAAGGCAGGGATTTTTCTTCATTTGTTCATTTCAGTATTCCCAGGGTCTAAAAAACATCTTGGCCTAAAGTATGGACCGATATGTTCATCTAATAAATTATTTGGTGCATGGACTTACAATCAGAGAAATCTCTTATATTGCTCCTTCATCTGAAGAATGTATTTTTGCACAGTGAGCTCATAGAGACATTATCTTTTTATCAAAGATTATTTCCAAACTGTGGCCAGGACAGCAGAGCCAGGCTGCATTCCATTAAGATGTTAGGGAACGAAGGGGCCCTCTTTAGAAGCATCGCAAAGCCTCTTGCAGATAACTTAGTATAAAATGCACACTTTTACATTTGCTGAGCTGCCTTTTGGTGTTATATGCGGATGGGGGTGGAAGGCTTTCATTTAAAATATGTTCTAATCCCAGAATCTTAGTCATAAGCCAACTAGTATCTCCAGTTAGGGTCAGTGCCCCTCACTACTTGCTCTAAAGTGATCCAGCCCCCAAAGAAGAGGATGACTTGTTCTGTGATACCCCAAAGTGCCTATCTGGTAGACAGAACTAAGAAAGGCTTGCAGTTTAACAGCCAGTGCCCTGAGGTCTGGGCTGAGAGTTGAGTCAGAAGACGAGCCCCAAACCGGGAGGCAAATGTCCTAGGATCAGAGTCCCTTACCTTGCAGAGAGATGCAGGAAGGTCCTTGAGGTTTAATTGCAGTAAGTTCCCAATAATGGGAAGCGGAGTCGGGCCTGGGGGTAGCCTTCCCCCAGTGTGCCTTTTGGTCCACACTGAAAAGAAAGTCAGGCAAAAGACAGAAATCATAAGAACAATGGTAGTGATTCCCAGCAGATCCATTTCTGCACCGGGGGCACCAACAATGGCTTCAGATGCTTGTTAGGAAGAAGGCTTGGCAGGGGGTGTTCCCTGCTGGGCAAAGGCTGGTCTGATTTTTGGACTTGGGGTTAAAAAAAAAAACTAGAATGGGGTTGGGTTTGTTTGCTAAAGCTTGAGACCCAGAAGGGCTCCTATTTCCCAATTTTTGTTTTGTTTGTTTTTTTTTTTTTTTTGAAACAGGATCTTCCTGTAGCCTCAGCTGGCCTGGAATTTACTACATAGACTGGGCTGGCCCACCTGCTCTGCCTCTGCCTGCCAAATGCTGGGATTAATGGTATGTGCTATCATGCTGGGCTTCCTATTTTTCACTCAGAAAATCTTCAACTTTGACCTTTCTTTTCCTTCTTTTCTTTCTTTTTTGGTGTATGATCTGTATGGATGTGATGTATATGTGTACAGTGTGTATGGTATGTATGTGGGGGGATGTGTGCATGCTGTGGCAGGTGTGTGGTTAGAAGATACCATTGAGTGTTGGTTCTCACCATCCACCTTGTTTGAGACAGTCTCTTTATCCACTGCATATGCCGGCTAGCTGACCTGTGAAGGTCCAGGGACTCTTCCATCTTGCATTACAAATGCTGGAATTACAGATGCATGTTACCAGCTCCAGTTTAACTAGTCTAGGGATGATTTGAACTCAGGTCCTCATCCTTGCCCAGCAAATGCTTTTCCCACTGAGCCCTCTCCACTACATGTACTTCTCAGCACTGATGATTCATTACCTATAAAGTCACATTTTATTTTTCATAGATTTCTAAAACAGTTCAAGTAATTACATTCACAAACTAGAAGTAAAAAGCTAGGTAATATGCTCTGACGTGATTTGCAAAAGGATTATCCTCAGACATCAAGTCTCTCATCAGTTAGGTCTTCTGTATCCATCAACAGGTAACTGAACAAAATGTATACAAAGGAATGGCATTCACCGTTAAGAAGGGATGAAATTCTGATACGTGCTGCATGTGGATGAACCATGAAAATGCTGTGCTGATTGAAATAAGCCAGACACAAAAGGCCAAATTATTGTGTGATTCCATTTGTATGAGGTATCTCAAATGGGCAAATTCACATGCACAGAAACTGGATCAGAGCTAGGTTGTTATAGGTAGGGAGGAGGGAATGGGGAGTTATTGCATCATAGGTACAGAGTTTCTGTTTGGGATATTGGAAAACTGAAAATGGATAATGGTGGTGATCACACAATACTGTGGGTATACTTAATGTCACTGAATTGTACCCTTTAAAAATGGTTAAAATTTTTGTTCATTTGTTTTTTGAGACAGGGTCTTGTCGGGAGCCGTAGGCCCCTACCCCAAGAAATAGCAAGACCTGATTTCTGGCAAAGCTGTTTTTCAGACATCAAGGCTGGCCTGGTTTGAGATTAACCAGATGACTATACTTGAAAGCCTCTCACAAACATGTTGTTCTAACCTGGGCACTTAACGCTTGAGAGACTCCCTCATTTCTCATGTAATTGCTAAGAAACTTTGGTATTCTTCTGTAATCATACAAGTGTAACCTCTTAATTGATTTATAACTTGCTATATAGAATTGTGGTGTTACTATGGAATTTACTCTGTGATCAATTGGTGTGGTGTTATTGCGATATTCGTTCTGTTAATTGAATTGCTCTACTTCAATGGAATTCTCCCTGCCAACTTCCCCCTCTCCTCCCTATAAAAACTTTGTGT